AAGGACTGCAGCATTGCACTGGTCCTTTTACAGGGGAGAGGTATTGTCAGTGCTAAATAGCAGTGTCTTAATAGGGTATTGGAGCTAAAGACATAGACCAAGCAGGGTATGTCTATACTGCAGCGTTTTTTGCAGAATAGCTCATGTTATTCCGAAATAACAAAGAATGCGTCTACACAGCAAGCCTTTATTTCAAAATAATGTCGAGCTGGAGGACTTCTTACTCTGACTCCTAATACTCTCATTTCACGAGGAGTAAGGGAAGTTGGAGGTAGAATGTTCTTCCTTTGACTTCCTGCTGTGTGGACAGCGCCAAAAGCCGAATTAAGCTATTTTGACTTCAGCTCTGCAATTGATGTAGCTGAAGTTGTGTAGCTTAATTCAATTTTTGCCCTGCTGCGTAGACGTGCCCTTTGTGGGTTAGTGGCAGAGTGGAAAAAGAAGTTCTGATGGCTGACCAGCCCTGTGTTCAGTCCACTACTCCAACTTCCAGGGGTTAAGTGGGAGACAGGAGAGGGGGCATTAGGGAATGTCCCCATGCAATATACCCAACTCTCACATGTGAGCATGACTCTTGCAACATGGGGGTGTTTTTCTTATCTGTCTCCTGAAAGTGTGCTGAAAGCACCAGTCCATGAATGTTTGCTTTTTCCTGTTACTGTCAGCCTGGCTGAAACTAACAATTGGCCACTATTTCCTTGCAGTCTAGCCACATGTGGAAGTTAGGCTGCTATTCATAAAGTTGGCTATGGCTGGTTCCCTTTGTTTTCAGTGAGGCAGAAGGAAGCCATGCCCAGAGTCAAAATGGGTGCTGCTCCATGGCTCGGGCTGGACTGGTGGCAGGAGCTGGGAAGAGCAGCAGAGACACTATGAAATGGGGGCAGAATGAAGGAGATCAGGAAACAGATTTACAGGGTGCAGAGTGATGGGGGCCAGGAGGGAGACTGAGGAGGGTGCTGTCTGTTCTGATGGCAGATCCCTCAGCTGGGTGAGGGCAGTGGATGGGAAAGGGAATTTCCCTCTGAACAGCCATGGGAAGGCCAACTCTCCTGGCCTGGCTGTGGGTCAATGGGATTTTGGCACCAGCATGAAGAACTGTTGTGATAAGTTTTTCCCTTTCTGCGCACTGCAGGGCTGGGGACGTGGGCAGATTTCTGTGAGAGCCTGAGGGAGCCTAAGGATGCAGACCAACCCTGCCACTGAGTGCTCCCTTATGTATGATCCGTGAGCAGAGAGGGAGTCTGGAGCAATGGGAGTTGGGGACTTGAAGCTGCTGGGACCCAGAGAGCAGTGAATCCCTAGGTGGGCGCATCAGGTAAGTTCTGCTACTGATGCCTAGGTAGATATGTCCCAAGGCAGCAGGAGACAGAGAAGTGCTGCTCCTGGAGCAAGACAGTTAAAGGAAAAGGTTGGCAGTTCCCCTCCCTTAGACAGAAGAGAAGGGTCTGTGGAGATTGTCTGAGCAGCCAAGGATAGGTAGGCATCTGTGTGTGAATTAATGTTGACTTTTCAACCAGAAATTCTCACATACCCATTGGCAAGGGAATAGAGGAGAGTTAAAAGACAGACTGAAAAACATGCCTGAAAAAACCCTTTGTGTTCAATATGTAATTTTGGGTGCCTAGAATTTGTCCTCCCCCCTGCTAGTTCAAAGCAAAGAATTTCAGAAATGGTTCATGGAGTGATGAAAGAAGCATGTACCACAGCTAAGCAAATACATAGGAGATGTTTTTGTGACGTGGATGCTTGTGCCTTAGACACAGGAGTGAGACCATATTTCAGCCATCAGTCAGTGATGGTAAAATCTCCATCAGCTTCCAGGACTACCAGCAGGCTCTGCATCCCCCATTATTGAGTAAGCAGCACTGCCATTGCATTGGGCACATAGACTTGGGCGGAGAGTCTCCTTTGCAAGGAAATCTCTTCAGCAGCATTGGCTTGAGCAGTGGAGGAAACCAGGGACACTGGAAAAACTATTTTAATAGGAGGGCAGTGAAGCACTGGAATGGGTTCCTGAAGGAGGTGGTGGAATCTCCATCCCTAGCGGTTTTAAAGGCCAAGCTTGGCAAAGCCCTGGCTGGGAAGATTGTTGGGGTAGGTCTTGCTTTGACAGGTAGGGTTGCCAGATGTCGGCTTTTGAACCGGATAGTCCAGTATTTGAGCTTTCTGTTCGGGAAACAAATGTAGAAAATATAAACGTCCGGTATTTTCTAAATAAGATATAATGTAAATTGTGATGTCATGTCAAGTGTGTCTGGTATTTTTATTGAAACCATCTGGCAACCCTATTGGCAGGGGGGGATGGACTTGGTGACCTCCTGAGGTCTCTTCCAACCCTAGGATTATATGAAGCCTCCCTTCATGGGAAGGACTTGAAAGCAGATTTCAAGCAGACAAGGGAGGCACTTTGCAACAGATTCCAATTAACAGGCGAGGTATCCCAACTTGAGAAAACCAAGCAAGTCAGATGGACTTTGCCAACTCAGCCAGGGTTGGTGTTTCTCTGCAGGTGAGCCATGCATGCAATTTCCAGTGCTGACACTGTTGCGTACACCCTGCAAATGGCTTAGATTTATCCCAGGGGGGCTGCAAATCTGCCCGCGCCTCGTAACGCGTGACCCCTGCTCCCAGCCCCCGCACGCCAGACAACAATTAATGCCAGGGCTCGTGCGCTCAGCTCTGCACAGTCCCGGGGCCGCCCTCCTGTTGGGATGCTCTGATTGGCTGGGCGGGAGCCGGGCTGCCCCCAGCTCGCTGCTTTCGCGGCTCTTGGTTCCTTGCAGCTGTCGCTAGAGGGCAACGGGGGAGCATGGAAGTGGAGTAGCGGCCAACGCGTGTGCACGGTAAGCGGGTAGGGGGACGTGGTTCCTTGCAGCCTCCAGCCTTCAATTAAGCAATTAGTGAGCGCCAAGCACAGCAACCACGCTTGCAAAGAGAGCCCTGTGGTGAGGATTAGCTGTAACTCCTGTTAGACGTGGTCGCGGGGGTGCGGGCACTTTTCTGACAGCCCCCCAAGAGGAGGTTGCAGAGAACGGGGAATGTGGTTGCCTTTAAATCTGCCAGTGCAAAGTACTCGGTGTTATGGGGTGAGTGGGAGCGGCCCGGACACAAGCTGCTTTTGCAGGAAGTTTTCGTACTTCGTAATTCAGAAAGAAAAACATCCCCGGGCAATAACCGCTGAGGGCGTGCCAGCCGGCTTTGGAGAGCCTCTCTCTCGGCAGCAAGCAGAGTAGGTGAGGCGAGGAGGTAGCTTTTTTAGGGACGACGGTGAAGCAAAACCAGAGAGAGGCTGGGGGGTGTTTTATGCAGGATGTTATTAAAGTGGATGTAAGCAAAAGAGTTGGTCGACTTTTCCCACCCTCTTCCCCAGAAAGGATCAACAAGCAGTTCAGGATTAGAGACGAGGAGGATCAGTCTGTTTGAAGGCGTCCAATGTGGTGATAATCCCTACATCCCTCTCAAGTTGGTTGGTACAATGCTGAGATCTCCTTAGTGTTTGGTGTTATGGCAATCAAATTGTTTGTAGGTGGGAGGAGGGAAAGTGGGACTGTGGTTATTTTTTTTTTTAAAGCCTCACTGATGTGTGTCTAACCCAGAAGTGAACCTGGATGAAAAGCATTGGCAGAGTAGTTACTGAAGCTAAAGTAAAATATTCTCCTACTTCCTTGAAATAAAGGTGGATAGATTTGCATTCTATTAATATCTCCCCCTTTTTCTGATATAGTGCTGGTGCTTGCCTGTTTAGGGGTTCTAAATACGGATATTTTGGGGACCCTTTACAGCACTTTAAGTGTCTCCCTCGAGCTGCTCAAGGCCGTAAGCAATTACTTTATGCCTATTGCTGGCTCTGCTTAGATGCCAAGTTTGGCAACAGGTTGTGCTTAGGCAGGTTGTTATGAAATCAGACTCCCAGGAGACTTCTCCCAAGACAGACCACAGTTAATAGTGTTGTTCTTGTTTCAAAATGTCAGTAGCAGGGATTTCTTGATGATGTGTATTCTTAATGCTGCACTGTAGTTAATAGTTCCCTATGGGATCAGAAGTGTAAAGGAGGGGGAGGAGTGGGTAATAGAAAACAGGAGCAAGAGTATGATCTACAATAACTCAGAATGTAACCATTGTGTGGGCTCTGTGGCCTACAGGGAACTGGCTGTTATGATTGAGGTGCATTGCATTACAATTAGCTCTGGCAACCCCAGCCAAGATCTGTTGTGCTCTGTGCTGTACAGACACGTAGCAGAGGTGACTGACCGCTTGTCTTTCTGTCAACTTCTCCCCAGTGAGCTGTCTAGTCAGTCCGTCTTTTCTCTACCCTTTTAGGACGCGTCTACATTAGAAAATTAGGTCGACCTGCTACATCAAGGAGGTGAATAATGTACATCCCCGAGAGACATAGTTAAGCCACACTAAGCCCTAGTGTAGACAGCAGTAGATTGATGAAAAGATTCTTCCATCAACCTAGCTGCTGCCTCTCGGAGAAGTGTATTTACTACTGCAATGGAAGAAGCCCTTTGACCGCTGTAAGACGAGTCTGTGCTGCCACACTGTGATTGTAGCATTTCTAGTCTGGATGTAAACTTGCACTGTGCTATCAATATACACTAAGAAGTGTGTGTGAGTGGAGAAGTGGTTAAAATGTTTATTATTTTGGTTAAAGTTTGGAGGATAAACTGTCAAGCTTATAATGATTATAATGACTGTTGGAGATGCAGAATGAAGGCAAGGGAGGCTGCTACTCAGTTTGGAGGAAACTGATTATTATTATACTTCAGAAGCTTCAGGGGGTAGTTGAGTTAGTCTGTACAGGATAAACTTAAAAAAACAACAGATAGTCTGGTAGCCATTTAAAGACTAACAAAACATATACATGGTATCATGAGCTTTTGTGGGCACTGGATGTCTAGACTTGCTAGGAATTACTCTGCCTGAGGTTTCTTCAGTCTCTTAAATGTAAATGCCAAAGGATTGACTGACTGGCTTGTAGGTTAGAGAACAGATTTTGACTCTAGAGAAATGGGCTCAGACGTTCCGATGTTGGCTTTAATACTTTTGTTAAATTCCTGCTTGTAAATGGGAGAAATAACACTCCTTTCCCCCCCACCCATTGTCTCTCTTGTGTACTTCAGGCCTTGCTCCATTCATTGGGGCTTCATGAAGGTGCAGTGATTGGTCTGGATGCTGGAAACATGTAGAATCAGGGCCGTAGATTGTAAACTGCGAGGGTTGGTCTTCACTAGACCAGGAAGGTTGGCTTACAGTACGCAACTCCAGCAGTGTGAAATGCGTAGCTGAAGTTGGCTTACCTGTAGCTGAGCCTTCGTGGTGTCCATGCTGTGGGAGGCTGATGGGAGCAAATGCTCCCGTTGGCTTCCCTTACTACTCATAAAAGGAAGTGTATTGGACGCTGCTGGCAGCTGCCCTAACTGTTTGATTTACGGGCCTGTACTAGATAGGGTAATAGAATAGTCAACTATCTGCATAAATTCTCAGCAGTCAGTCAACTATTCTGTAGTCCCCAAGGGCAGGGCTGGCAGCCAGTGCACTCTGTCCCCACTCCCAGGGAGCCCCCTGCCACCCTACGCGGCTGCCTCCATATCAGAGGTAGCAGCATGGGTGCCAGGCGAGAGCCAGTCCGCAAGGGGATCCATTTTAAAAACAGCTCCCCTCACAGATTGGCTCCACCCCGCACATACAGAGGCAGCAGCGCGGGGTGGCAGCAGCTCCTGTCTGCAGGGGGTCCGAGCTCCCTGTGGACGGGCTGCTGCGGGGGAGAGGCTGCTGTGAAGCAGTCTCTCTCTGTGGCGGCCTGGGCTCACTGTGCACAGAGGCTATTCTGGCAGCAGCCCCTGTCTGTGCGGGGGTTCCGAGCTCCCTGCGGATAGAGGCTGGTCCAGCCACTGTCCACAGGGAGCTTGGACCCCCCTCCCCCCCCCATGGACAGGGGCTGCCACGGGGGCCCAGCCTCTGTCCACATTGGGCCCAAGCTTGCGGACAAAGGCTGCTCCATGGGATGTGCAGCCTTTGTCCACTGGGAGATTGGATCCCTGTGGAAAGGGGCTGCTGCCGCAAAGCAGCCTCCTCAACCCCTCCCCCCCGCCCACTGTGCTGCTGCCTCTATCAAAGGCAGCAGTGTGGAGGGAGGGAGGGACAGGTGGCACCGGTGCTGTGGGGAGCCAGCTTTTAAGCAGGCTCGCCCCAACACCCACTCTTGCTTCCTCCCCTGCTGCCTCTGATACAGAGGCAGCAAGGGGGGGGGATACGAATAGTCGACTAGATTAACCGATAAACCTAGGCTTATCATTTAATCGTGTAGTCGACTACTTGTTGATATCCCTAATACTAGACCTGTTAAGTTGAATGCCAGATGATCAATCTCCAGAGCATTGATCTTCCAGTAAATATAGGCTGTGCCCTGAGGGGCAAGCTTTGCAACTGAGCTGCTGGATGACCTTGGAGAAGTCCTTTCTTCTTTCTATAACTCTGATTCCACTCACTCTTGACTTGCCTGTTTAAAATGCAAGCTCTTTGAGGGAGGTGGTGTCTCTTACTCTGAGTATATACAGGGCCCTGGTCTCAGATGGGGCCTCCTGGATGTACTTCAGCAATATAGATAATAAACATTCCTTAATGCTTGGAGGGTTTCAGCATGTCTGGGTGCTCTTGAATTCTCATTTCCCAGGGTAAATCTATAACATGTTGCTGAGTACAGAAGGAATGAATTGCTGTAATATTTTTTTGATCACTAAGCATTCAAGACAGATATGAGGACTGTTTGGCAGATATAGTGTAAAGCCCAGATTAATTAACCACATTTTCCGTACATTTGTTGAGTGTTGGGTTGTTTAGCTAAAGCACAGACTCATTTATTTATATAAATGGGTGTAGATTATATTAATTAAAATAGAATTTGAAAATTAAAAAAAAAAACCAGCAATGGAAAAATAAAGATGGTTCTATGAGAGAGTTAAACTCTACAAAAGTGAATGCGTTTAACAAAGGGTGTTAACTTACGAAGGAGTTGGAAATCAAATCCCAGTAAGTCATTGGTCACCAGCCAGTAGATCAGGATGTACTGGTAGATCCTGAAGGCTCTGACAAGTGATCCTGACTTGTTTGGTAGAGAGGCTATTAAGTGCAGGCTCTTCAGCTGCTGCTCCCCGCACTACTGTGCTGCTCCGGTCCTCTGCCGTGCTGTGCCAGGCTGGGGAGACAGAAGAGGGAGGCACTGAGGTCAGGATATTCCTCTCCCCTGACCCTTGTACTCCACCTCCACAGAGAGCGGAAACATGACAGGGCCTGGGATGGAGGGAGCCAGCTGGCAGTTGCTCCTATGTCTGATTGCTGATATTCTGAACACATACTTAAAGGGGCGGTTTGAATTTCTCACACTCACACTGTTTGTGTCTCTCTTCCAGACAAACGCCCTCTGTCTTTCACATTCACCTCCTGACCCAACACATACTTGTGGTGGTGGTGGTGGTGGTACCTAAAATAGCACACTTTGAAAAAAGTTTGAGTGGTTTGTGCATTTCATAATTTTTATTTCTCTCTTATGTTTAGTTTAATTCTTTGAGTAGTGAGTTCTAAAATGACTAACCTGCCATGGCTGGAATAAATATTCCAATGGTAATTTTTAAAAAATATGTATAATATATCAAGGTTTTTTGTTTCTGCTGGTCGTGAACAAAATTATCTCATTGATGGTGCACGTAACAAAATTCATCCCCTCTCTCTTTTTTTTTTTTTTTTCCCTATCCATGTGCTGAGCAGTGGCCGTGAGCCTTCTGGAATCAGGTTCAATCTCCTGGAGGTTTCTGCAGCCAAACTGCTGCTAACAGTCTAGCAGAACAGCAGCATTAAGGCAGTCTTCCTCCAGTCCTGGACTTGCACCTCTCCTGGAAGTGGCTGGCACATCCATGTGGCCCCTGGAGGAGGTAGAGCAGGGGATCTCCACACATGACCTTGCCTACAGGAACTGCCCACGCAGCTCTTATTGGCCAGGAATTGAGAACCACAGCCAATGAGAGCTGTGAGAGCGGTGCCTGTGAATGGAGGAGGCAGTGTGCAGAGCCCTCTGCCTCTCCCTCCAGAACTGCTGCTGGACATGCTGGCAGCTTTCGGGAGTGGCACATGACCAGGGCAGGGGTGAGCCTGCTTTAGCCTCACTGTGTCATCACCAGAAGGAAATATTGCCCCGTCAGAGTCCACATCCTGAACCCCTACCCCAGACCTGAACCCCTTTCTGCATCATTACTCTCTCCCCCAGGCTCAGTCCAGAACCACTCCCACACTCCAAGACCCCTTGGCCTGCATTCCACCCTCCTGCCCCAGCCTGGTCAAAGTGAGTAAAGGTGGGGTGGGGCCTTGGAGAGGAAGGAGATGGGGCAGGGTATTTGGGTTTGAGGTAGATCCTGTATTGCACTTGAATTCAAACAGCGATCTTGTGCTTAATAAGGTTGGAGACTA